GTTCGGCCCTTTTGACTAAAAATTGTTCTAAAATGGTTCCTATTCATCATTCGGTTGCCCCCCCCCCCTTACGAGCAACCCTCAGAAGTTTTCAAGAGACTTGTACGAGCAAGGAATGACGGGGGTCTTACCTTTTAACGTGTGATTCCAAACACTTTCTTAGGCCATCAAAAAAATTCTGCGGTCGTGGTGGAATGGAATCAATAAATGATATTTATTCTGTCAAATATAGTGACTAAGAAGGCATAGCTTTTTGTTCAACAAAATATTTGTTTCTTGAATATTTGCTTTTGGCGCCATTTTTCAAAATTTTTGGTAGGAAATGTTGCTGGGAAGTGATAAATTCGGAATCAGCGACCCAAAAAACAGAAAGATCATAAAACCAAATCCTACTATTTTTTCCAGGTAATATTCCTTATTGCCTAAAGAAGATTCGCATACCAACACATACAGTGTAGATCGAATACATTGAACCAATATGCATACATGCTATTCTTGTGATAGTGCCTGGTATCATATTATTTATTTCTGACACATGGAAAATCGGCCACTGTTTGAGTACAATGAGACTTTATCTCAGGACGATTCAATTGTTTTCCCAATTTGCATGACAATGAATAATTATTTTTCTCTGTGTATAGGTATCTCATGTTTATACCTGTTGATGACTTGTTGTGCTATAGTTCCGAAAAATAAGCCAATCACACTGTCTCCGAGAAAGTACCAAGTCCTTTTATCTTCCATTCAACTTCGCGATTACGTAAATTACTAAACAACCACTATATTCGCAATTTTTGTAAATCAAATCACAGAATTAGACTGACAGATATTTGATTATTTCAAAAGAATGATGAAGATGGCTGCAAAAAGATGACAACGCAGGTGTCATTCCTGTTAAGAACTTAAAACTTCACGTCGATACTTCCCTGAGTTCAATATAGTGTGATATAGATATAGATTGGTCCTTCTTCCTGTCAGAAAAAAAAGTCTATTATACACGGGAAAAATATTAGAATTTAGCTCACGGTTTTTTGTCTCCATCCGCTACACGCCGGGAGACAACACAACATATATAAACTTAAATATTTCATTCAGTGACAAAAATCAAGAAAATCAACAATTTTCTTAGGTAATTGATAAGAAGTAACACATGTCTTGAAATTATTTCTGGGGGAAGGTTGTAATAGACCACTATGTATGTATATACATTAGACCACTCTGTATATTCATTTTCATAGAGATTAGTCCAGATAGTTGTGGATCCGGTAGGTAGGAACTGATAGAGGAGACAAAAAGGGGTTGTGGAGAGAATTGTCAAAAAGAGATTGTCAAGAGAAATGTCAGAAAAAGATGACCAAATAAAAGAACAGAAACTGCGGTATTGAAAAGCTAAATTCATACGACATTATAACCAAGGGAGTCCTGGAGGCTGAGTCCAAGCAGTAACTCCAGCTGAGATTGTGGAAACGGTTATTCGGTATTGAACGGTTGGAGCAAGATCTGATCGGCATCAACACTGGTCTGTGGAAGGTACATTGTGAGCTCACGAACTCAATAATCTTTTGTCGTTCGTCATGTGTAGGAGGTGAATTAGGGTTAGTGATAGATAGTATAGGTACTGTATGATAATTAATATAGTTTAGTTACTGAAGTATTGTATTTTATTCACTTATCTGCCTGAATAAACCCTAGTCGGGATACTACGAGGTGCACCCATGTGGATGGAATTTGAAGAAGAAAAAATCACAAATGTGACCACATCTACGGTTCGTTTGATTGGAAATGACCCTTCCTTCCACCCCACTTGTTTTGATTCATTACTTATGGGACACCCTGTATACGAAACTTCGTAAGCACTGCGAAGTTTATTCTCGGATTCAACCCACCAAAAATATGTTTATCAGATACACTTAGGCAGTTGTTTATTGTAATCTAAATAGTAGAGACAACCTAGTTAGGTAGGTAGTTAGTAGGCAAGAGCTATCACCTCCTCGCACTAGGTCGCCAACTAGGTTTTCATTTAGATCGACAATGGTTGAGGTCAGTTACGATAGGTTTTCAAGACTTTTGAAAATTACATGATCATATTACTTATTCGTCGTGAAAACAATGATGAAGTATAACCCCCAACCTACTTATACTTTCCATTTTATTGATGACAATGGAAGGAAGACGGTATATTGAACTAATCGGCTTACTTTGCCTTGGTTTCTATAGAGATGTCTCCAGATAATGTCCAGCACTTGCTTTTTCATTTGTTCGAGGGCTTTGCGCTTTCAATTCCATAATTCAGTTTGTTTTATTCTTCCGGTTCTCTCTTATTGTTCGATGCCCATAATAGCACATGATGATAAATATGTGCCGATATGGTCTATTGGCATAATAAATTCAGTTCGTATCGGGCTCTATGCTGATTCTGGGTCCTTCAGCTGTTTGAACGGGATGGTCAAAATAATATGTGTTTGGAGCTCAGTGAACATTAACAACAGAGAGTGGAATAATCATTTACATATTGGAATGGAATTGAGTGGAATTGTAATTTTTTTAGGTAGTGAAGAAGGAGTGGGTTGACTCGGCCATTTTTCATTCAAAAATATGAATTAAATCAGGAGACACAATACAATTCAGAGTGTTTTTATGATTAGCAGCCATTATTTGGAATGTTTTCTTGATGTTGTATACATATTGTGTTCACATTTCTTGGAATTTCTTCTATGATTTATTTTTGACTGAAGGAGGAAGCCCCTAATATACTAGACTTCTTTTCTGCATTTGCATGGGGTACTTTCATGAGTGTTATAAAAACACTGCGAGAATCAACATTTTTGACATTCAGATGATTGAAGTTCTAACTGAATGCAAGAACAAAGAAAGGAAAGGAAATGAACGAATAAGTTTACCAGGGATTATTTTATTCAAAAAATATCTGTTGTACGGCACTTTATGAAGAATACAGATCATGCTGAATAATGCCTGAATATCTCCTAATGCATATTTAGGGGTTACGCTGTTCTTTCGTTCATATTCAATTCCATCTTAGATCTTGTGTTATCTATAGTCTATACAAAGTCAGAATTGCAAGAGTACAACCAGTTCCTAAAAAAGGCAAAAAGACCCGACCTAGCAACTACAGACCGATCGCACTGCTATCTATTATTTCAAAGATTATGGAGAAAGCTATCAACATCGAGCTCATGGAATACCTGGAACATTCAGGTATTATAGGCAATATTGCTTCCATCATCGCTTACGTCTCACATATATGGCAGCAACCTATTGAAAAATATGGTGAAACCTTATCCGTGGCACTTGATATTTCTAAGGCATTCGATCGAGTCTGGCACCACGGACTCCTCGCCAAGCTTCCATCTTTTATGGCTTACCTTCCCCAGCTATGTTATCTGCTATTTAGTTTTCTCTCAAGCAGGTCTCTCCATCTAGTGGTCGACGGAGTTTCATCTGACTCTCTTATCATAAATGCTGGTGTTCCTCAAGGATCAATTCTAGCACCAACACTATTTCTACTCCATATCAACGATTTGTTGGGAGCAACTTCATGTCCAGTAAACAGCTTCGCGGATGATGGTACCCTCCATACCGCCTTCTCTTCCAGGGCTCCAAAACCAGCCAGGCAAATCAGAAACGAACGAGGAACAAAAAATGTTGACAACATAAATATGGACTTGGCAACAATTCTCGAATGGGGATCCAATAACTTGGTAGATTTCAATTCAACAAAACACAAGCATGTCTTTTCCCTAGAAAATCCGATCTCACTGTGCCCAACAAAAGCTTGTCAGGAGTAGCTTGGTATTACTATCAGCAATAACCTTTCTTGGGAAAATCACGTGAGATCAATTGCTAAAAGTGCATCTCAAAAACTTGGTTTTCTGTTTCGGACCAGGAGCTATTTCACTTCCAGTCAGCTGCTCATGATCTATAAGGCACAGATCCAACCTGTCCTGGAATATTGTTCCCATATTCGGAGTGCAGCACTCAAACATACCCTGAAACTGTGGGATTCTGTTCAAGAAAGGGCAATTCGTCTCGTGGGTGATGCCTCACTTACAAACTCATTCACTTTTCTGGAACACCGTAGAGAAGTTGTCGATCTGGCTCTATTTCATAGATATTTCCATGGACGATGCTCTTCTGAAATATTAACAATTGGTCCTCCCTTGGCAGCCCTCGCGAGATTAACCCGTCGAGTTGAGGCTTCGCACCCCTTCGTGGTCACTTTGGAGACCTGCAGAACATCTCTTTCCAAAGACTCGTTTATCCAACGAACAGCGAGGCTCTGGAACACATTGCCAAGGGAGGTGTTCTCCGAGGCATATAACCTCTAGAAATTCAAGAAGAACACCAATTCCTTCCTTATTTTCCTTGGTTCTCACGATGTTCTCTGAACATTACAGGATATCCCTTTTCGTGGGAACCAGAACATAAAAAAACAGTTGGATAGCGAGCGAGAAATGTGCACGGATTTCAAACGATCAACAGAAGCGACACCGGTCTGAAATTTTGCTCGAGGTGCTCTTATTGATTTTGGACATTAAATCATTTGAACTACTACTGCTATAACCATTTTATTTCCACGGCACCCTCGAAACATTCAGCAATGAACAATCTAGGTTTTCCGGATATGTTGTTCTTTACGGTTAACGAATGGCATACGTTTGTAAATAAACCATTTATTACACAGCAGGACATTTTTAATGAAAAAGCGCGGATCGACTATGGTGCTCTTGTCACAATGCAAGGTGTGCAACTTAATAAATCTAAACATTCCAAAACACTAAGTTGTCATTTCTAGGTCCCACTCTTATCTAACTAATACCATCCAGTAACGCTAGCTGGACTCATCTCCCTGACTACGTCCCTCTCATCCAGACTCCAGACGCCTCCACAGCGCCGATCGTACGGCGCGTTGCCATCGCGACGGCAGACGAACGCCTGAAATCCCCCGACGCCTGCGACTGAATTTCAGTGTGTCGGAAACAGTCCGGCCGCCTGCTTTGCTGCCCACGACCACGGTTACGTTGGGTAATCTGTGGTTGTGTTCCATGCCGTCACAGCAGCCGATCTGCCGCCGTTCTGTCAGCTGAGATGCGGAAGATCAAGCAAGCTGTGATCAAGCGTCGACTTGGCAGATCCGAGACGGCAGTTGTTTCGGTCGAAGCCTGCTTGACGTAGCCGGTTGCTGGTGCAGGTAATGAATGCTGGATTGCTGAGTGTGTTGTTGCTTTTTGGTGTGCGAAGCGACGAGTTCATGGGGTAGTATTGGGGTTGAATGAACGTTCGATGTCAGAAGTTTGTTAGGCACTTGAAACTTGTGGAGTTGAGCTCTTGGGTGATGAATATATCACGCGTCGTGATAATTAGCCACCTGTAAAGCTGACAGGGCCGGAACAAACATGTTTAGTATAATTTCCATGAGAATCTGTAACATTATGACACTCTGATCTCGGACATTTCTGTAGATTTTTGACATTTTCTATCCTTGTCTCCATAATTGGTAAAATACGTACCTCATCATATTTGTTGTAAAATGCACCAAGTCATCTCAATAACTTCTGAAATTGATAAATCAATTGATAAAGTGACATGTTTTGGGCATTCATTAAATATTAATCATATCACTCCAATTAGTACCATTTGAGGAACGCGATGGATTTCTACCACCGATTGGAATAAGTTGTATTACACTATACTTGTAGTTAGGACACATCGGATGATTTGCAACATGTCACTGTGCTGAAAATTTCAATATTGGAAACCTGAATGTGGAATTCAATTGATTGACATGTCAGTGACAATAAGGGTTTGGAACAAACTGAAATTTCACTTGACTTTGGAAGTCTCTGGAATGAATCCGGATTTTAATAACAGATATCGTAACACCTTACTCAGGTAGGTACCTGATTTTGATCCATCATTCAGTGGAATTTGAACGAAAGAAACTATGTTTCTTGCAATAGACTTTCATTAATTTGTCTTCATATAGCATCATAACAAGAGAACACTACAATCAATTGAAACCCAAAAAGTCCTGAAATGGTAACAAACACAGCACATCAACACTTTACACACAGACTGTATATCGGAATTTGACATATGTGAATGACTGAGAAAATTATTCGTAACCCGTAGTAAACACGTGAATACGGCGTTGCCACACTCATTTCCATAATAAATTATAATTTAATGTATTGATGAAATTAGGAAAATTTAAATTATTTCAATAGCAGAATTAACATATTCCAATTGAGGAACAAACACACAGAATGAATATACAATATACATTTGAAATGTATGTAATATGGGAGGTAGATCTAGGGCAATCCGCAGACATTTGGCATGTTTTCAGCTGAAAACGATGAGGGTGATCAGAATTCTGAATATTGAACCATCCTGTAGCTATTCCGATTAAATATCAGTAAATAGTGAATCAAAAGTTGAGATAGGGACATGTGAGCCGTTTTGACCGATAATAAATAGTTTTGACACAAAAAATCCTTAAGTTGAAAAATTTCAATTTTGAACACCCTATATCTCTGTAATCATTTTCGATAGACCTCAAGTGTTATAAATCTATGAAATCAGCTCTCCAGAGAGGATCTAAAAATGCGATAAAATACAGGGTGTTCCATTAGAAATATCAATGTTGCTACGACTTTCTGGTAAAAGCGGCAACACTGCATTGTCAAAAATATCTTCAATGAAGAGAGCGTTTTCTGAAATATAAGCATGCATAAAAAATGGATATATACAGTATGTCCACCTTAAGGACTTACCACTCCTGTAAAATTGTCATTATCTGACCGATTTCAAAAATCTTTTTTTTGTTGGATAGGTATTTGAAATGTCCATCCAATAAAAGAGTGATTTTACTCTGTTATCGTGGCCAACTGCGGCCAACTTTATTGACCCATATTTGAGAAAGTACTATTGGGGATTTTTTTCACAAAAAACAATGATGGATTCTGAATCACGATCACTTGAAAAACACCTTTACTGATTTTTATCATCATAAAACACAGGGTGTCCGAAAAAACGGATTATGTTTTTTTTTTCAATAGGTGATCAGAAAATGTAGTATTGTGGTATTTTTGAGAAGAATTGATGACACATTATTATTGAGGATCACTTTGAAAATATCTGTACCGATTTTCATCATTCAAAAATACGATGTGTATGAGAAAACAATTAAAAAGAAAAAGTAGGCAATATTTTTTCATCAACTCAGAAAAATATTTATTTGATTTTTCGAACACCCTGTGTTTAATGATGTTGAAAATCGGTACAGGTATGTTCCAAGTGATCCTGATTCATCTTTTTATTTTGAGTGAAGAATTATCAGGATGAAAAATATTGCTTACCTATCCTTTTTAATTTTTTTCTCAGACACATTGTATATTCAAAAGACGAAAATTGGTACAGGTATATTTGAACTAATCCACAATGATAATTTGTGATTATTTCTTCCTAGAAAAACCACAGAACTACATTTGCTGATCACCTATTTGAAGAAAATGATGATTCATTTTTACGGACACCCTGTGCTTTATGATGATGAAAATCGGTACAGGTATATTTCAAGTGGTACTGATTCAGAATCCATCATCAAGTTTCATGGAAAAAAATAATAGTACTTTCTGGAATATGGGTCATTGAAATTTGTCGCAGTTGGTTACGACAACAGTCCAAGAATTAGATCCCCCTCCCGTTGGATGGGCATTTCAAATACCTATCAAACAAAAAAAGGTTTTTTGAAATTGGTCGGATAATAACGATTTTACAGGGGTGGTAAGTCCTTAAGGTGGACACACTGTATATACAGAAATACATTTAGAATTCGCATCATCTATGTGATGAAAATATCAATTCTTTTTCGATTAATTCAACAGAAAACAACTAATTCCCTGGCTATATGCCACGACGAACATTGAATTATATCTATTGAACACACACGATAAGAAAACATCTACTCACCTGGGTATTTGCCACGTCGAACATTGAATTATATCTGTTGAATATCCAAAAAGAGAGCATGAAAAATGAAAATCCTCTGAAATTGAGAATTGACATCTCTCAAATCGGATGGAATAACATGATATAAAAATATAACTTACAAATATGTTCAGTTTCGAGATAAAAATTGAAATGTATACTTGTATAAACTCTGATCTTGATGAGCTTCGAACTTCCAAAAAAATCATTCGTATCAGTGATATGGAAATTATATCTCTCACAAACAGGTTATATGACTTCACTCGAATGAACTTATTTCCAAATTCAAAATCCTCATTAGTAACCTGAAGTGCAGTTATTCTTTCAGACATTCTTGATGATATACACAAAAATAAAATAGTGTAAGCTTGTCGTGACATAACCTGTATTGATAAGATGCTGATAAACGCTGTCCCGCCATTGAGGGGGCAGGAGTGGATTTAGTTGATAAGCTATATTATTACAACAGCAAAAAAATAACCCAAGCTTCTTCAAATAAGACATCGAAAAATGTCGCTGATGGCTGCCGGGCGATGAGAAAACTTTCCAGCGACGATTTTACAACCACAACCAACAATAAACCGCCACCTATTTTCATATACAGTCAGGCTTCGGAATGAAAGAAGCTTCTGCATTCTTTATGATGGAAGCCCATAAAAGCCGTTGATTGAACTGTCAATAAAAATTGCGTCGAATAGCTCCACAGTTATTTCATTGCAGTCGTAAACATCAGACAGTCATCGACATGTTTCTCGATAAAAATTGTTTTGCTTCAAATGTTCTTTCAAGTTTATGACACCCTCCCTACAGGGTTTCAGAGTTGACAAAGAGCAGTACCACTTTTAAAACTTAGATAAATAATGATGAATTCAGGAAGACATTTTACCTAGGTAGAAAAAACCTGCCAATAGTGTTAATGATATTATGTAATATACACACATACATACCGATGCGTATGCAACCAACGAAAAATGCTAAATTTTTAGAACCAAATATAATTGAAACTACAAATCTCATTATATAGCTGAAATCAATCAACTCTAAAAGTATAAAAAATGTTTATCTGATGGCATGTCATAATGACAACGTTATGTCACTCAATTTTGATGACATAAGTAAGCTCATTATGGGACTAAGTACCATAATGAAATTCTATAAGGAAAACATGTAATGGTTTGATCAAAAAAGTTTATTCAAAATGCATAACTATGTACAAAACTATTTATTATAAATGGTAAAAGAACAATTACTACAATTTGAAATATTAATATAATGGCAAAGCAGAGCTCACTCACCTACTAATATTTGAAACTACACAATATTTACTCCTTTAAAAATAGTTGTCATTGTGACATGTCGAAAATGCAGTTTTTGATTTTCCGAAAATGTATTGATATAAATGCCATCAGATAAAATTTTGTATGTAATACGAATCATAAAGAATCATTATGGCACACGCCGTGTTATCGGCATTCACGACTTGTACCATAATGATCGTCTTTATGATCCTTATTACATAAATAACTATTCTCCTGTTCATCCTGAATCTGATTATTATTAATTCTAATCATAGGTGATTTGTCACTGTCATGTGTGTAGACCAAGAATTCCAATAATCATGCCTTTCGGAAAAGACAGATTTTTTGACCAATCAAAACAATTTCAGCTATGGTGGTCGTGTATGGTCGACCCGATAATATGTACCAGTTCAATGATTGTTCAATATGGTATCATGTGCGATATTCATGAGGTTGAAATATTTCAAAACATTTCAATGAATAATGTATTTTTAATATCTACTCGCGATATTCATCAGTAATATCAGTATCCTTCCGAACTTTATGCAAGCGGGGTACAAGCTTATTCCTATATCAAAATAAAAGTCACTGAAATGTTCACTCGGTTTTGTAGTTATTCACAATGTCAACTGGGAATTTGATACAGCCTTTATTTTCTGACAACCAAGTCGAATTTCCTTTTAGTTTGACAACTGAACTCCTAGGCTGAACTTGATATATCAAAATTAGGTATACACGGTGAATGACACTGCCTCTTCGATGGAAATGATAATCTGAATTGATAGTGATTGTTAGTGGTGGAAAAAATATTATTCATCTACTCACTGTATCAAGTTGCCCCTCACAGTTGATGCACAAATTTGTTTTATCGAGGCCTGCTCTTTTGCAACTACATTTTTTT